ATAATCCCGTCGCTCCGCCATCAATTCGCACTGCGGAGAAGGAAACCGTGAGGTGCACGAATCTTCCCGTATATAATGGTATAGTATACTATTATATACGGGATGTAGGGAAGATTACCAGATATACTCAAGAACAGAAGGAGCTCCTTCATTCTATCCCATTCCCATCACTCCGGGGAGCAATTACCGAAGAGGTTGTAGACACGCACCGTCGGCACACTCATTGAGTGTCACTCAACCCCTATGGGGTGAAATATTCCAACATGGTACTTGAGTATCTGTTCAGGTAGGTTCGACTCTACCTCAACCAAATCCAAGGAGCTCTCAAGTCTTTCCTTAAGTACGCTTGTTGTAAAATGCATCCGGAATGCAGCATTCCGTGAATACTTGAGTATATGCGCAGAGTTTCTGCGCATATACTCAAGTATTCATCTCTGCGGCAGAGACCAAAGACGCCTAGAGTATTTCTAAACCTAAGGCGCATTAATGTGCTTGCTTGGGCAGTGAAACAGAATGTCCTAATTACTTGAGGTATACTTGGGGCGTTACTTGAGTTTAAGCCGCAATTTGCTGCTATGAAACAGGTATACTCAAGGACAGAAGGAGCTTCTTCATTTTGTTCCATTTCCACCACGCGAGTGGTGGATTCCTCCGCGCGACGCGGAATAAATTCAACAATGCGAATACCTGACCAATTTTGGCAAGTTCTGACAAGTCAGTTCCCTCGCATACCATCTAGTAATGAATGACCTTATGATCATCGTCGCCATCCCGATCGCCATATTCCAGTCATATGCCTATGGTGCTGATTGGTCCTATGATGATCAATCTTCCTGGCCTGGTATATGTACCAATGGTACATCCCAATCACCGATATCTATTCAGACTGCCGCTGTTATCGATCAGTCAGTCATGATGAATGATCTTCAAATTACCTACGATTTTGCTACATTGAGTATTTCTGATTATCGTATCAATGTGGTAGTCGATGAGGATAACGATGAAAAGCGATACAAAATTGGTAACGTCCGCGGGTATGAAAGCGACACCTTCATTTTGAGCGAATTTCATGCTCATTGGGGATCGACGGACGAGTACGGCAGTGAACATCTGTTCGAAGGTGTCGCCTCTCCGATGGAGCTTCACTTCGTCCACTACAACGAGAAGTATGGCAGTGTTGGTGACGCTAAAGGGAAGGCCGGTGGTTTGGCTGTGATTGGAGTCCTTTTTGGTATTGGTGAAGCCAATGAAGAGTTTGAGAAGATCCTCGATGCCATTGAAAATGACACTGTTCATCCCATCGTAGACTTGTATGCTCTAATCCCCAAGGATGCGGGTACCAAACTGTTCGGTTATGATGGTTCTCTTACAACACCGACCTGTGATGAGAATCTCCTCTGGCACGTGGCTAAGACGATAATGGCGGTAAGCGAGGATCAGATGAAGGCCCTAAGGTCTGTTGTCGGTCCCAATGGAGATATCATCGCTCCCAACTACCGACATGTACAACCCTTAAATGGTCGTACGATTTATATTACCAATGGCTTGAAGGAAGAGCTTGGCCCATCTTCCTTTGCCTGTTATTGGCATGATCCATTTCAAGTGTGTACCATGAGCTTCATCATTATAACGATGATTATGCTTTGATGAGCTTGACAGAAGCTATGATATTTGCATGCTGCATACTCCTCATCAACCTACTGTAATTGGGATGCGTTATGGTGAACAGCGTAATTACAGTGCACGTATCATATCTCATCGATTTCGTGAGTCGTCTAAATCGGGAATTACCACTCTGGTGTATGATGCCTACTATTGATAGGCACTCAGACTCAACAGTGCACTCACTCAGCTGAAGACTGAAGACTTAAACTCCCTAGCAGCGTACAGTGGAGAATGTTTAGTCTTACAGACTTAGGAACTCGACGCCATGTCAGTTAGTTGAATATCAAATCAGAGTCTTACTTCAAGGCCGTATAGTAGAGTGTGGCTGAAGAGTAGAGGGGGTTGGTCTACATCGCAGTGCTTGTCAGTTGAGGAAATCCTCAGCCGGTAAGTGCTTAGTCACTATAAGTCCCACCTAGGTGGTACTATAGTGCTCCTCTACTTCACCAAAAAAATGTATAGCACTATTAATATTTGGTCTTAATATTATTGACGATAGTTTTACTAGCTCAAACTGTGCGACTTAGCGCACCACTCAGCAATTGTGTTTTCCATTCAGTTCGGTTGTGTGGCTTGTCGTCCATACTCCTGCCGCTTGGCTCGTTTAAACGCCATTTCTGCTACGCTGAGCTCAACTGAAGAGCCCCAGCGCAACGAACAGAAGCTCAGCTGTATTTGGTAGACTCACTGCCAATGGGAGGGTTGCGAACTATCGCATTGATTACTTACAATGACACTCTTCAATATAATGATAACTTCAATGTTAATGAAATTTGATTTACTTTCTCTCACACGTTCAAAGGCATCCACTCATTTTCGCTACGTGGTTACCAAACGACTACTCAATTAACATCATGATGAGTCCGCGAGAGCAAATCTTGCGGCCAGCACTAAGTTGCGTTTTGACGGCCAATTAAGCAAAATCTGAACCTCAGAGCAGGCGAGTGGATAATGGACGGCTTTTTACACCTACCAACTCGCTATGTAGGAGAATATGCGCATAGTCAACTGAAGCTTGTTGGTGACAATAAAGAAATTCTGAGGGAATTCTAGGGAATCCCCGTTGTTCTCTGTACACTTGCACACTGATTCTTATATAAACTCCTTTAATTGTTAATGTGGCCTAGACCAGATGAGCAAAGCGAACATTTACTCGAACACTACCAGTGCGAGGTTATGACCTTGATTGTGGCGAAACACTACGCTCAGATACTGTGTCACAGTAACTGTTATCAATGGGAGAGAAATGTGTAGAATCTTGAGCAGTGCTTAGCACAAAGCACTTGCTTCCCAGAAAATTATATTATGACATAACACAGAATCCGTCTCATTCAGCGAGCAAGGTCTATTGTCAGAGTTTCCAGCCGGTCGCAGCATCCTTCGCTTGGCAGGCTTGACGGGATGGACGTTATGGCTCACCGAGCCAGCTCAAGGTCCAAAGTAGCTTTGACGAAGCCAGCGACAGCGATCCTCGTGTCTGGGCTGCTGCTCTGACGTCTAGCTTCATTCTTCCTGTCCTTCTACCCTTTGCTTGTGCCTTTGCCAGACTCTCCACTGTACTCTCATCGTCGACGTGAGCTGAGACTCTCAACTTACTTCATGACGAGAGTCTCCTCAAGAGACGGCCCAGATGTCGG